GACAGCGACGTCGTTCTAGTCGCAGCTTGCCAGGAGGAGAGGCCATTTTTGAGGCCCCTTCTCGAATATATATATGGGGCCGTCAATCAACAAGAGCTCCAAGTTTTCAATTGAAAAGAACTAATTCAAAACAGCATTACTTGGTACTCCAAATTATTTTAACGACTAACAGCTAAAAGCAGTTGTCTGAGCAAGTCTTGTGACTACAGGAAGTAGCACAGATTCAGGAGTTGATGCTCATTACAAAACGGTCACATAGCATTTTCATCTCCAAAAGCTGTCATAGTAATATACATGAGATTTGTCAAAATCCCAAAGTGAAACTAACTTTTTCCTTTGCACTAAAAATATTATCGCTATACAATACTGAAATATAACCGAGATGGTCAGTCATGTTGACTGACCGCCTATGACAGTGCCTGCTTATTGCTATAAAGAAGCAGCATATTTAAAATTTTTATAAGAAACGCTCATTTTTGTATATACTGCTTCTTTATAGCAATAAAAGAGTACAAAACACCGCATAAATTTGTCAAAGAAATGAAGAGGCTAAGAAGAGTTAAATCTGACACTGATAAAGAAAATAAAGACTCTTATGAACGGTCTTTTTTACCAAACCTCTACCAAGCCATTTGTGCTTGCCGTGCTGTCAGTGAAACAATGATTTTCTCCCTCAAGCTAGTTAACTGTACATTACTGCTTTTTCAACATAGCATTTAGACTGGTAGATCAATTACAGCTCCTTTCCGAAGTATTTTTTAAATTTAAAGGCTTTTGTCTTCACTAACAGAGCTTTTGAAACAAAACATCAACACAAACATAAAAACCACTTCCTGTCAATACTTCCCGAATTACTCTTCAAACTTCCTGTCAATGAAAAAAAGTTGGCTCTCTACTGCATTGTCGTCGTGGCTAACAGACTTTTTTTTAAGTAAAGAACTACTAGAATAAAAATTCTTCTACGCCCTCTCACTGAGCCTTTCTGATAATGTAATTTTTCTACTGTGGGTCGTAATTTAGCCTCTACTTGCCACAGCGCCAACCACTGGCTGCCAGCCCTCACCTTGGGTCTCCTAATATCTCTGACTTCTATGTCATCGATTCTTTCTAATTTGACAACCGTCTTCTTCCTCAAAGTATTTTGCCAACAGTAACCAACCCCTGATGTTGGACACTTTCTCATGACTTAACCTCTTTATTCTCACCGCAACCGTATGTTTACAACCAGCAATTCTCTAAAATACTAATCCATGCCCAGCAATTAGACCTGACAATAAGACAGTGAAACAATTAGAAAACAATAGACAGAAATGACAACAACTCTAGAAACCACTAAAGAAATCTAACGCCACCAACTGGGCATTAATCAAAGCACAGAAGAGATGTAGAACAGAGCTGTAAAAGTAAGAAATTGATGAATGAATATTCCCAACTTGAAACACTGAATGATAACGCCACCGTCAACGTCGACAGGCAAAAAAAAACACTGAATAATGGTGGGGGATCGCGTATCTTATATACCTGACTTCCGCCCGCCCAAATGGTCACTCTGCAACCCCTACGGGGGCTTCCCCTCAGGGAGCTACAGTGATCTACAGTCCCCCTACGGTGCCTTTCGCAAGCGGTCGTGACAAGTGTCCCAATTTTAAAACGGAAATAAAAGTGCCATGCTTTGCAGCTGTACAAATATGGTTCAGAAGAGATGTGGCGAACTTAAAAAACCGTTCCAAAGAAAAAAATGAGAAGTAATTTGCAACAGAATATATAAACGAAAATATCACATATAAATTACAACGTTGCCTTTTCAAAGACGCTTACAAAAGTGAAATTGCTATAAAATTAAATTATTTATCCCGGAAAATTTTTTTGAAAGCATTATCTTCAAAAATAGTTTTCCAGAGTAGTTAATGTTGGTTAAAATTTTTGCAGCGTTGTAAGGGATTAATGGGCCTCCGAGATATTATGGTAATCTTTATTTTTTTACACTTCTGATATTACAGAATCTGTTACTTTATATTCTCGCAACAATATTTGGTAAACTACACAATGTCTGTATCATTTATACGGCTACTACAACCACTTCTAAAGCCATAATTTGCACCGTAATTGAATTATTGCAATCGATATCAAGCCACAGCTAAAATTTCGTGCCCTCTATAGTTGTTGGCTTCATACTATGAACTTTACTGACCCCATAGCCGCACATGTCAGCCAATGTCGACCGAATTGATTTGTTGAATACTAGCAGTATTGGCGCTTGAGCTAAGGCATTGCCGACGTAAATAAAATTGGCAAGTGCTGCAGCCTGTAATTCAAAAACGTCAGGAAAAATCTAACCGGCAAAAAAAAAGTTACTAACGTTTGGAAAACTTTCAAAGCAATAATTTTATAAATAAAAAAAAAAGCTTTACAAAGTCAGACAGTTTACAGTCCAATAAAGTAACACGAGGTAAGTACTGTTTACAGGAAAAAGCTCATAATTAAATAGAAAAAGGTGTAAATGACATACAAAAGGTAAAAGTGGAGAAGGCTTAAAAAATTAGTCTCCTTTTTGTAAAAATTTTTTTCAGACTGTCTTCTTATACGTCAATTGCACATTTTCAAATGAATATTACCACCGCTTTTTCAAATGATAAAAGGCAAGTTAAAAAGCCCTATAAATATTCATTTTTTTGTTCGACTTATGAATGTGTTTCTTTAAAAAAAGCGTAAAACCTACCCATACTGCACTGGGTGCAATCATTGGAAAGGTGTAAAACATGAAAGAATCGATAAATTGACTGAAACACGTCACGCTTCCTTGTAATGCCTATAATGATGTTAGAGTCATTTTTTGCTTCATTTTTTTTCCAGAATCTTCTAAAAATAGGTTAGTTTTATAAATATAATTGAATTAATAAACTGGGCGTATTCTTTTTTGGAAAAATTCTGCTGCTGCTGCAGCAGCAGCAGCAGCAGCAAATTTTAATTTTGCTAATTTTATTTTTTGTTGTCTACTGAGTGGAATTTCTGCAAAGGCAATGTAAAAAACAAAAAAAAAACCAACCAAACGAGCATCAGTGCTCGTAAACAGTTTTGTTTTACTGTACAAATAGGTTCTCGCTTTTACTGAAAGCAGAAAAAGAATATATGCAATAACCAATAAACCGTTCATCACCTGCGTTCCCCACAGTAAAATTGCCGTTATTTCGAAGTCACCGAATAATGTACATGTGCCACATGAATATGTAAACTGCATTGTATGGGTACTATACCTGAAAAAACTATGCCTGATAAATCAGATTTTTTTCTCTAACTATCCCTTTTTGCTACTAAATTTTTAGATTCCACAGTGATACAACAAAACTTCATAGAACTTTACTTACGTTTTCCAGCAACCGATAACAGTGGTGCTGATAATAGTCAATACACCGACAAACCAGCCTATCGAAATATACAATAATGTATGCGTTTCAACAAAATGATGAAATGACTTGCACAGGAACATTGATATTCGTTCAATTGCAATCAAGCAGTTGAATGTTATTTTGGAGAAGTAACCAAGTGTATGTGGCATTGATAATAACATATTAACTGTTCGAGAATAGAATAAACATTTGCTATAGGTACAAGGCACCATTACAGCACAGTAAGAAAACATAAAGATTACTTGGCTTATGTACAAACAGTTCATAAGCCTATAAACTGGTGTGGTTATTTGTTTGCCGAGTAGGAAGAACAGAAATAACAGTAACAGCAGTGAACAAAGTGCAATTATGTTCCATACAGTAAATATTACTCCAGTAATAAAACGATAAGCTTCAATGTTCTTTAGTGGAGGTAAACAGTCATAGCCACCTTGGGCTTCTTCTGACATAACTTTTCTGAAAAACTTCACTAATTTTTTGCACTGAATCGCTGTAATCAATCAGTTTTTAAATCTTTAATCAACATACAATTACTTTGATAAATTTTCTGTTACCTATAAGACAAAGTACAATTTTTCTCTGTCAGTATAAGGCTACTGTAGGCTACTACTTTTACTGTAGTTAAACATGAAAAATTTGTTGAACATCATTTGTAGATTGAACTGAGTGAAAAACATTGTTTAGAAAACAATAAATTTTTGTCAGTACCGTCAAAAAAAACTTTTAATTAATTAAAATTTTATTGATCTCTTTCTCACTGTTTTGCTTATTCGAAAAATTATAAAATATAACAAATCTTATTGATACACTCTATTTCTGATAAAATCAACAACATTGTTTGTGTAATTAACTACATTAATCAGCGGTAAATTGCAGTTTAATCAGTAAAGCAGATGCATTTTGTAATGTCATAAAAGGATCCAAATACTGAAGGTAAAGGAACTAAAGAAAAAGATTTGCTCGCTGTCTGTTCCTTGCCAACTATGATCCATTACAGTGGCTATGAAACATCAGAAGCTTTGGAGTGAAAATTTGAAAACTGTGATAGAAAAGTTGCGTAGTAAATAGCTCATATTTCTTTTTCCTCTTTTTTTCTTCGTTTCCCTCTCTTTCTTTTTGCTCACTTTTTCATATTTATACAGTTTGAACGTCATCGATATGTCGGCTTTATTTTGCGTGGTGTCCGTCTGCGTCTCTAAGAATCTTCTTCTTATTTACAATTTAACAAAATAGCAGTTAACGATGTAAAATTGAGGGAGACAAAAGTATAGTGAGTTTCAAAAACAGAACTACTTATACATATCTGAAACAGAATTAATTTTTTAAAAACATTGTTTTTTTTCCCGAAAACCTTTAAAAAATTACTTCTTTTTCGAAAGAAAAACTAAATAACAAGTTCGATTAACTTATAAATTTAGCCATAATTGACGCTTAAAACAAAAACGGAATTTATAGCAACTATCCAACTAATAATTTGAGACGAAACAATCACTTAGAACAAAGACTGCTTTCGTTTAAAATTTATAGACAATTGCTTCGCTGTTAATCGATATCAATTTGACAGCAGAAGATAAACAAAATGAATTAGTCTTGTAACTGGAGAAAAACTTTTCAAAGTTTTTTTACTTATATTTCAATAGAGATGAAGAATTTGTGCGAATGTTTCTATCTATCGCTACTCCACTTGGAAGTATTAATTTGGACATTTGGATGGACATTAAACAGAGTTTAAAACCCAAACGATGTTCTGTTCTTTTTCATTTATTAGACTGAATTTCTTAGTTAAAACAATACAAAAAATACAAAAGCAACATAGATCAGTTTTAAAAATTGACATGTAAGACGGTATAGACTCTGTATAGTCAGTGTAAGACAAATGCTTGTTGTTGATCTGTCTGCTTTCCATAACGGTGTTATAGTTTTGAAGCAATAAAAGTCATTTTTTTAACGCCGTTTAGGCACAAATTGATCTCAACCTATGCAACGAATCTTCGATAATTAGATTTTAGAATGATTTCTTTCAAAACTGTATAAAAAACAGACTGTGTATTGACAATTAATTAAATATTGCAATATTGTCCTATTGCAATAAACAACAGGAAACTTAAAAAGTTATTTATTCAAATTAAAAGTTAAACTAGAATCCATAATTGTAACGAAAAAATAAATTGATTAATAAAAACGTAACAAGTTGTGCAACACAGCAATATGCAGATAGCACTTTTTTTTTCAGATATACAAATTATGTATTCTAGTTTAGACAGTGCTTGAAATAATATAAAACAAAAAGAAATTGAATAAACTTAAAAAAAAATTAATTAATTAATTAATTAAATAACCACAGTAATTCGCACGTATTTTGTCATTTGCATTTTAACATTTCAGGCTAAACTTCAATTTGTAAGATTAAGCAACTTTCTTGACACTCTCACTCTGTAACTGTTGATAATGAGATAAAAATATCTTTAAGGTGATAGATGTTAATTGTCGATTAGTAACAACCATTCACTTTAACTTCCTATAAAATTTGAAACATTAGTTCTTCTGAAACACTGTTGCTTTAATCTGACAGCAACAGAAGTCTGCTGCGATTTACCTATTCTAAGGTAGTAATAGAAAAAACTTGGATATTTAACAGTCGAAAATGTAACAAAACTTTACCATAAATTATCGCAATTCTTTAAAAATACAACTTTGTAATCATTGGCTTTTTTTTGGCTGTAAATTACCACAAATATTACCCTTTTTTTTTTTTTTAGTCATATTCTCACTTTCTTGACAAAAAAACAATTTTATGAAAATTTTTACACTAACAGTTATGCTTTTTACGTTATTAATAATGTTATTTATGTAAATAACTAAGCATTTCTTATAAGTCTATTTCATAAAAACGTGTATAAGACAAAAAAAATATGAATAGACGGATGAGAGTGAATACTTACCAAAGACCTACAAAAAATTGTAAAGTCTTATACAGTAAGAAGCGTTTGAAAAATTAAAAACAGAGTAAGACCGGTTTTTAGAAACAGCATTATATTTGTCTGTAAAACAGTGAAAAAAAAAACACTACATTAAGTTTAGCAGCAAATAGTCTAGGTAACTGATTTACAGCATCATTTTTAAACATTATAGTAATCTATATCAATTAAAGTTATACACTTTAGAATAAATGTAACGAATGAGAGTTTCAAAATGTACGCAGAAAATTTTTAACCATAATACAAAAACTCAAGTTTGTGAACTGTTTAAAACCTGAAGCTTGCTTACATAGAGAAAAGATTTAACTTGATATTTTTTCAGAAGCCTCGCTTTTTAGAAATTGCTTTGAAGCAGAAAATGAAACGCATGAAACTGAGTTAACAGAAAGCTGAAAACTAAAATGTGTTTTTTTTGTTGACATTGAAACATTTTGCTATAAGATAACATTTTTTTATGACAAGCAACCTGAACTTAAATCTTTTTTGCTTTGAAAAACTTCTATATTGAAAGAACTTTAAAAGAGCATGATGCTTGGTTAACTCAAACAGAAAGTTACTGCATGGCAAAGTATCGTTTTCCGTCATTTTTAATAAGACTTTTAAATTTAAAACTAAAAATGGTAAACAAGTCTATGGCTTGACAGAAAGCTGACTGCAGGAGAATAAAGCCTATTTATTTGTTTAGTTCAAATAGATAAAACTTAAAAATCGTTTTTAATTGGTATCAAAAAGGCAATCACCTTTTGTAGTAATCAACATAAGCATTTCAAACAATGCCCCTAAAATTTTTAAAAAAGTAAAAAATAAACTTTAGTTACTTTTTGCAAAAGTAAAATATACTACAAAAAATATGATGTTAAGAGTTGCAGAAAACTTAGGAAAAAAAAATTTATACGTAGCGTTAGATACAATAATAAAACACCTCAAAAATTAAAAAGCAAAAAGGATAAGTAAAAAGCAATTAAAAATCCTCAAATTACAGTTTTACTTATATTCACAAAAATATACGTTGCCATCTTTATAAAAATTAGGAACATCTTCAGTGTGCCTTTGTTGTTAAATGTGCTAAAAATTATAAGATTTACTAAACATTTACGCCTAAAAACCACTTATCTTCAAACTGCTGCATGATCACTTTGAAAATCGTATTATCACGTACATATCCACCAACAAACATACATACATACGACTACGAAAAGATGAAGCATCTGAGGCGTATAAAAAATTCGTAGCTATGCGGACAGTAAGCAGTTTAATGTCGGCGGCAGGGCACAAAGTCGGTATAGGCAATCATTCATCTTCAGATCTTTGAACTAGATTTGCAAATCTTATCTGATTCTTTCAACTGAGTACAACTAATAAAACAGATTTTGATAGAAGTTTTTTCAAGCTACTTTTATTGATGCCACCATTAACCACATCACTTTCAGCAGTCAAACACTGAAATTTGTAGACTTGTTAAAACTAAACTAAGACATTTGCTGAATGGACACAACAAAGAAGTTGAAGTAAGAGACAAATAAGGAAATTAAAAAGCAAGCAGATTTTTTGTTAATAAAGAGGAGTAGGAAGAAACATGTCAATGCTTTGTTTATTCTGTCACTTGTTCAGCAAAAAGAAGAAGAAAAACGTTCATTTTCATTAAATTACCTTTTTCAGACAGATTTATAAAAAAACTGTAAAGCTTTTGTTTTTTTTTAGCAAACTTTATGTTTACTTTTATTCAAGATTATTTATTGAAAAAAAAAGAAACGACAAGACTTGGCGCAGATAACAGCTATGACTAACACATAATCAGAGATTTGTAAACGAGAAAGTTCTACATATGAGTTTTACACGCTCGATCTAAACACCCCCTGCAAAAAACATCATTCCCATTTAAAAACATTATGTAAATTAATCCACAAATATTTCGTCAAACTGAGGTCGTTATCCACAAAATGAAGTATTCTTTCACTTGCTTGGAGAATCCTTTTGCTTCCATTAAGACTTTTTTTAATTTTCATACATTACCTATATTTCATTACCACTAACACTCTGATTTAAAAATGAACCAGCTCTGACACGCTGTTTTAATTAATTTTCAACAACAGCAAGTTTTTTGTGCCGAAATTCAGAACAAAATCTTCGTTTCTGCTGAGGCCATTATGTCAAAAAAATATCACCCAGAATTGAATAAGTTAGATGTAGAGATGAAGAAGTTGAACTATATACACATAGAGAAGAGCAAGTTGTTGTTGACAAATGGTAACAAGAAATGTCTGGTATTTTGGTAGAGTTTTAATGATGAATCTTTTCAAATTATCTTTGATGTACGAAACCTTTCGCCTCATGATTACTGCTTCTCCAGAAATTTCTTTCTTTCCTTAAACGGCAAACTTTTTCATAATTTTAACCGTATAACTTCAGACAAATTTTGACTGGTTCTCAGCAAGAAAGACGGTCAAAGTAAGAGACGGCATTGAATAATCTAAGAATTTGAAAAGTTCTTCTACGCTTATTACAGTGAATCCTTGGTTCTAATAACTAAACGAATAAACAGTTTCAAGGTAAAAAACCTCTTTTTCGAATAATAAAGAGAACATCTATACAGCTTTCATACCCGTATTAAGAAGCCTTAGAGGTGTATTTTGGTTCAGGATTTAAGAAAAATGATTGCGGAGAACGACGATAGAAGCTGGAAAAGCAAAAATAATGACTGAACTTTTAGTTATAAAAGAAATGAGTGAAAAAGATTAAGAAGCTCTTACCTAGCCCTACATTACATCTATAAAGTCTTAAAATGATTTAAGCTAGTTTTTGAAATTTTACAACTGCCTCCAAAATCATCAAATAAATTAGAGCAAAAAAAGGTTAAATTAACGTATTTATTTTGTTCAGTACAGAAATCTATATCTAGAAGAATCGGAAAAAACTGGTCGACGTCAGTTTTAAATGCTTTTTCGTTGATGGCTATTCTTTGAGTCAAAAAAAGATTAGACAGCTGAATAGGTAACCAATGTTTTTAAGTAAGTAAAAAAGATTATAAGAGATAAAAAAAAAATAAAAATTGAAGCTGTCACTCACAGAATCTAAAAAACTGAAAATGTGAAAGTGTTGCCAAGCCGGAGTAATGAAGCATTTCTATCCATCACTACCGAGTTCATTTCTAGTGGTACATCAAAGAACTATTAAAAAAACATACAAATGAAAGTGCAATATGTTGAAACTGTTTTATGTTTGTAATACCGCAGTTGTAGCTTGAAACAAAAGCAGAGGAATAAAAAATTGCTTAAAAAAGGTAAAGAACAATTCACAACAAAAAAAGTCAACGAAAATATCATTGATAAATTACAATACATAAACAGATCGTCCTCAATAAATTTAGGCTTTTTTGGCGCAGTATTGCAGTTATCTGTTTTAAAAACTTTAAATTTTTAATCTTCAGAGGCGGTTCAAAACAGTTCTTGTTCCTTGAAATTATATGGAGTATATAGCTCACTGCAATATTAATGTGAGATCGTCTCTCACATTTACTGCACCTTAGGATTCCATGCAATCTACTCTTATAACAATGCCTGGTAAATCACACAGCGTCTACATCATTTACAGTCACGACAGCAATTTAAAAGGCTACAAAGTGCACTAATATTGAATTATTCTAGTAGCCAGAACCGGAAAATCAGGATTTCAGGACTTCTATTGTCGTTGGCTTCATATTATGAATTTTCCTGATTCTGCTAATCAACAAATTGTTCAACGTTGCCCGGATAGCCTTATTGAATATTAATAATATTGGTGTTTGAGCCATGGCATTGCCGACATAAATAAAGTTAGCAAGTGCTGCGGCCTGTAATTCAGGTAGCCCAATTAAAGTCTGTTAGGAAAGAAAAACTTATGAATTTTATACATTTCCAAAAGGCTAATTCTATAACAAAAAAAATTTTTTTTTAAATGTTAAAAAAAGTTAAAATGATCAATAAAGTTGTAAAAAATCAGTTTTTTGTGGGTGGAAAAGTTCTATTGTCTAAAAAAAAAGCGGAAGATGACGTCAAAACGTCAAACAAAAATAGGAAAAATAGAATGAATAGAGGAAAAACTTAAAAGCAAAAAAATTTTGTTTCTATTTTCAAACAAACTTTTTCAAACATTTTTTTAACGCATCTTTGAAGATATATTAACAATAGTTTTTTAGAAAAAAAAGTAACCTGTGAGGTAATTCTTAATTGGCAAAATGTTTCTAAAAATAAAGATAGAACCTACCCACACAGCACCAGGAGCGATCATTGGAAACGTATAAAACATAAAAGAATCAAGCCACTGGGTAAAACATGTAACGCTTCCTTGTAAAGCCTGTAATAAAATTAAAACCTATTTTAGCGACATTTTACTCAAAATTTTATAAATTCAATTTCTTATTTCGCTCTTTCTTCACTTCCTTATTTCTAAAAATAAGTGTTTTGAAGTTGAAAGTAATATTAATAAATTGTGAATAATTTTTCTTAATTAAAATTGATGCAATAGTGATTTACTTTGATAACAAACAACTCCTTTTTTTTTTTGACAACCAAACAGTGTTGCTATGAAAAGTGATTGAACAACTGAAGAAGCATAAAACCAACCAAGCGAACATCGGTGCTCGTTAACCGTTTGTTTTTACTGTACAGATAG